CCCACCCCTAATCCTAACCCCTCCCCCACACCTACTCCTAAACCTACCAATACTAGGGGGTGCATAATCTGGCAGGGTGCAAATTTCGGCACTACACCGGCCGCTACCGCATTTTATTCGGGAATTTAATCCCACGGCGCAAAAAATCCGGTCGGGGATGCAGGCCTCTACGGCAGAGCGGCTCTCTCTTACAATGTATGACGTGACAGACAACTAGTTGTCCAGTCCTGTTCCGTTCACACAGCGCGGGTGTTCCGCGAATGCGGTTGTGAGTCCTGAAAATTTACAGGACTGACAACCGTATTCTGCTGCTGTGTGAACATAGCCTAACATGCATTACGTCACATTTCCTTATAAAGTTAGCAGTCACTGGGTTTTTATTCACCCACCAAAGCCATTTTTACATGCATTTGGCACTTGGAGAGTGTTCATTTTGGACACTTTCATTCGTGCGTCTGTCTGATCCCAGTGTCATGGTCTCCACATATCGGTGTTTGGAAGCTCATCCCATCATAGTGATGTAGGAATCCCACTTATCTGTCACTCGTCTAGTTATCTTCCCCTCTAGGAGCTGCACTATCTCTGATGGCATGTTAGTGGCGGATTCCTACACTGAACTGTTGAACAGCTCTTGATGGATTAAGTGTTGATTTTGCGACAGACTTCATTACAAAATACCCATCAGCACCATCTTTACAATAATGTAACACATTACTGAACTGCATGAGGCTGGACTGCTCGTAAAGATTCAGATGATGTTTACACCTGAAGTGATTCAGGTGATCTGATTCAAAGTCCATCGGATGTTCTGCAATAAGATCTCTCAAACAAACCACATTCAGATGTAGTCAGAAATGCATGTGACCACATTGCATTTGTCGTGTAAACACTAATTACCATTTAAACAGTGCACTAAAACAAGAGTATTAAACTTTATTATTTGCATGCAGATTAAAAACTGATTGTAAAAATGCATACATACATCATGCAGCACATGAGCATGCGCATTGAAGTTCAATTAATTTAGATAAAATAAAATAACTACAAGCCTTCTACTTGAATATTTTAATAAAACATAACCATGAAAAACAGTTTTTAAAATGTTTTTCTTGGTTATGTGAATGTTAGAAACAACATTAAGGGAATGTTCCATTTTAGAATTTTGCAAACATTATGAGAATGTTACTTTCGAATGTTCTTTAAACCATTTGAAACTAACAAGTAGGAACATTAGTAGGAAGAAAAACATTTAAAAAACATCCCATAAACAATGTATAAATAATGTTTTTGTGCTAACGTTTTGAGAATGTTATTAAAAAGCCCAGATAAATCTGAATGAACGCTCTATTAATGTTACTGGAACAATGTTTGTTCACAACCCTGTCAGAACATTCTGAAAACTATTTCCAGCACACTAGTTCTGCTTATGTCCCATGTACCTTAGGGAATCCCCTAACGGAGCAAAGCAGCTTGGTGTTATAGCCAACAGTAGTGCTGCGGTTTGCCAGGGGGGTGGTGAATTTGGGTGCCTCGCTGAAGTCGTGTTCCTTGTACTCTGGAGGCTTGTAGTCAATGCCTATAAAAACACATCATGAAGATCTGTGAAGTAAGAATAACAAGAATAGCCACTGGATGCCTGAAAAACACTACAAAACTTTTGCAAGACTTGTGAGGACTTGCATGTAAATATTTTTAAATTGAATGCAAGTCACATTGGAAAAAAGTATCTGCCAAATGCATAAATGTCAAAAGACAAGACCAGGGTTACTATTCTTAACTAAAAATAAAACTACTAAAACATTTTTGTTAATTAAAATAAAGCTGAATTAAAAAATAATTGTTTGATGAAAAACTTCAAATTAAAATGTTGCCTTTCTAACTGGATCAACTAAAAACTGTACAAAAATGAAATAAATAAATAAATTAAACAAAAATAAAAAAAGCACATAACACATAAAAATATTTGTAATTATAATTATAAACAAAATTTCAAATGAAAACATACTAACTATATGTTAGTATAATTTCAAAATATTAATAAAAAATATAATAGTACTTAAATAATACTAAAAATATATGTGTTTGTGTGTGTGTGTATATATAAATGAGAAATACAATTCAACTGTCAAATACACAAAACGCAGAAAAGCTGGTTCACCTGTCTTCTGGATGGTGGCTGAGGTCTTTGTAGCAGTGGCTTCTTCACTGATTCCACACTTGTTCTCAGTGAAGACCCTGAAGATGTAGGTGTTACCCATGATCAGGTCTGAAACAGTGGCATTCATTCTGTGATAATGCTCCAGTACTGTGAACCAGTCCTGTGGAGAGACAGCAGCACAGGTCCATCTACTCCAGACACGACTACTGACAGCGTACAACTGAGTTAATTAGATCATTTGGCTGACTAGTGCCACTGAAAGGAACGGCATGAATAAACATAGTTTTCAAAACAGTTTTATGAACACGCCACAGTCTGCCATTAATACAATAAACACAATCCCGCCCCCACTGGTCAAAGCAGTGTTGATGTGGAGGACTAGATGGGTCGCTCAAAAAACTTAAAATGGGAGAAATTTAAACTATGAATGGCACAATTATAGCTGTCTCTGTATGTTGAGCTTGGATAGTAAAAAGTATTATAACACCAAGAAACATTGTTGACACAGAGCACTTTTCCATTGTTTTTCTATGTAAACATGCCGCTGCACTCACGTCTCGTGTCTTTCGCAGCATCTCACACATGAGCGCCATGCTGTTAGGATGCCGTATCAAGATAAAAGAATTTAAACTTTTACATGCAACGCCGCTCATCAATGTCAGTGCCAAAACTGTGGACCAATCAGAAGACCCAGGAGGCGGGGCAAGCAGTGCAAGCATTCCTGAGCACTGCATCTCGTGTTTTTAGATGCAAATACGCGTTCGACGTGAATGGCTCCTTAAGCTTTAACATGGCATGGCATTTACGTGGTACTTCAAGGCATTTTCAAGAATACCATGTAAAAACCATAGACTGTATAAAAACATGGACGTAGTGTCCGTGACGTCATCCATAGGTTCCTGAAGAGCGTTTCTGAAGCTCAAAGTGGGCGGAGCTGGCCGTCGCCATCTTGGCAGTGCGTCACCGCGCGTCTCTCCCGGGTAATCAAAAATGGGCAAAAAGGCAGGAGCTGGCTGCTGAAACCACGCCCACCTAGCTCGACGGTGGTGACAGCAGCGGCAATCCACCTGCCACTCAAGTGGCCACGCCCTTAATTATGCAGAACTTTTTGTCATGAAGGGCAAAATTAACTATATAGACCAAAATCATTGTTTGAACCAGGCTGTAAACGTTTTTTTCTGCTGTAAAGTTGGGCATTTTAACATGGGGAGTCTATGGGACTGACTCCCCCCCCCCCCCCTCCCACGCTTGGCTTCACGAGAGAGAGCGGGAGGTTGCCGCTTGGTAAAAACATGTCATCACGTCCAAACAAACATTGCACTGTCTATTGCAATGTTACCATGTTCAAAAAAAATCACAGTAATACCATGGTATTTTTTCGTAAACTTAATTTTTGAAAGAGCTTCTACCCCTGTTTTTTTGTCAGCCTTCTGGATGGTGTATCCGGTGATTGCTGTGTTTCCATTATCCTTGGGTTCGGTCCATTCCAGAGCAACATTGAAACCCCAGGAGTCCACGATCTTGACGCTGGCTGGAGGTCCAGGCAACTCTGGTGAACAGGTCAACAAAGTAAATTGTTAAAAAAAAAAAAAACTCAAAAACTAACATAAACCATGGTCCACGGTGTGTACGAACACTTACCAACAATCTGCAGAGTCAACTGGGTTTTGTCCTCAAAGCTGTCCACTTTCACACACATCTCATACACGCCAGAGTCGGCTCTCTCGGCGGCACGGATGAAGAAGATGCTGTCCTTGTCGCTGTTGCGGATGTTCACCTTTTTAGTATCCAGAGGCTGGTCGTCCTTTGTCCATGACACAACAGGTTGCGGTTTGCCCTGCAGGTAAGAAAATAAGACAGGTTAGCTGCAAATTATTTGACAAAATCAACTTTTACCAGATATATTAATTGAAAACAGAGTTAGAATGGACTGATTGGTCTTCTTCTTCTTGCATTTTTTTTGTCCAATTAAATCCTTTCCTTGTGACAAAGAAGTTTAAATAATTGTATTCAATGTGCACTTAAAATATATTTTCAAATTTTAAAAGTATATTTTAAACTTGTACTTGCAGATTATGCAGTATTAATGAAATAAAAGTCTACTTAATTATACTTAGAGAAAACATTCCTCACTGTTTCCCAACACACTTAAGTGCACTTTTAAAAGGTACACTTTGTAATAACGTCAAATTAAAAGTTTTACTTTAAACCTTTACTTTAAAATCTTTTATTATGCACTTAAGTACACTTATTTTGATTGTTGATAAACATACTAAAGCACATGTAAAGTACTTGATTTTAATTTGAACTGTGGTTGTTATTTAATATTATATCTAATGTAAAAATATTTTTAATTTACTAAAATTAAAGTTACCATAAATGCTTGTCGGTACATTCGGCAGTACACTTTAACCATATTTCAAAGACAATAGAAATAATGGTGAAAAATTTAAGTCTGCTAAAAAAGCACCCTAAAGGTCAACTAATTGCATTTAATATACATTTAAATTTGAAAACTTTTTCATTTAATTGCAAATAATATGCAATGAAGTGCCAGAAAACATTGCATTCAATTCACACTTAACTACATTCTTTTAAACATATTATTTCCGTAATCCATAATAAATACTCTTTCTAAACGTATGCTAAATTGTACTTTTTTTTTTAATACTTATTTTTTTTATAGTTTTTTTTTTTTCGGTTGAAAACAAGAACACTTTACATAACAAAAACAAGGAAAATTAAATAATTAAAAGTTTAACGAAGGTTGCCACACATTACATATAAACTTTCAGAAATAACAAAAGATTGTCATATGTTACATATAAACCTTTAATAATTTCACCAATACATTGTATCAATAAACAATTATATAAATTTACAAATGCAAACATCTAGACCACCAAGGAGCTTGTTTGTACTTCTTTTTTATAAGTGTGTGATTAGTGTTACCAAGCAGTAAATCCTACTGTACATCTTGGCTGTGAAGTAAACAAAAGGCCACTGGCTATTTAATGCATAAACAAAAAATAGTACCAGGCCAGCCCTGCGATATATCCAATGCAACTTCCTGTTTTAGCAGGAAAAGGTTTCAACAGGATATAAAACCGTGAGTTTGGAACAGCATACTATTTGAGTAAGAGTAGCATGTTAGCCTTCTTATTCCAAGTATTATAAATGTAAGTATTTTTAGCCCATGTCCTGTTAAAAGTTCTGGCATCTGGCAAAAACATGAATAAGCAAGCAGGAGTTTAGCTACCTTTAAAAGAGTTCGGCAGTAATCGTGCATTTTCAGTAAACTTAACAATTGTCAAGAGAGTACATACACTGAAGGGAATAACAAGGTTGACTTTCTCTCCAACATTTTTCACATGACGCTGCCTCAGGAAACGTGGCAAACGAATTTTGGGGCGATCTGTAGAGAGGAAAAAATGGTACATAATATGATTACATTGTATTTGATTTACATTCTATCTTCAGAGATTTTACAGAACTATATCTTCCTTGTGCACATGCCCACTTGCTCGAAGACTGAACAACTTTTTTATAAAGAAATACATGCTCTTATTTTATTGGCTCATAAAAACAAGCCTTTTTCATTTTTATTGTCAGTCATCTCAAAAACACTAAGAGAAGGAAAACCTTTGCTTATTACAGTTAACATAAATATATAAAAATAAAACATTACCATATAACACAAACATTCTCATTAAGTTATGAAAACATTATTTCAGAAAATTCTCTGAACATTCAAAACATCCAATTTTTAAAATTGTTTAAAATGTTTTTTTTGTTGTTATGTGAATGCTAAGGGAACATTCCATTTTATAATTTTGGAAACATTATGGGAATGTTACTTTTGAATGTACTCCGAACATTCCGAAACAAGCAGTAATATCTAAAAAAGTTTACATTAGCGTCCAACTAAAATGCTAAAGAAATAAATGTTCCATGAACAATGCACAGGTATAAATAACGTTTTGAGAACATTATTAAAGATACAGATAACTCTGAACAAACGTTCTATTAACGTTAGTGTAAGAATGTTTGTTTATAAGAATTTTAGAGAACCTTGCCAAAGAGAGAATGTTAGCCAAAGTTCGGAGAACGTTCCTTGTTAGCTAGGATAGCACTGTTTATTGAACCAGAAACTGACTTGCTAACCTTAACGTGACCCTGGCTTCCAGAGCGCAAGCTAACTGTAATTTCACCCTGAGCTGCAGTCAGCCTGTTTCATCTTGTGTTGGTTAAACAGTCTGCAGCAAAAAAAAACTACCAAAATCTTTTGCGAAACCATATGCAGACGCACTGAAGTTAAACACAGAAGGAAACAGAAGACTAAAAACATTATGAGGAGTCAATTACGCTAATACCCCCTAAGCTAGCCAACAAGCTAATGGTGGCTCTGTTGGACTCATCACGGCTTAAAATAGATCAGTCCTATTACACACCTGTCACTAATAACTTATGATGGAGAGCTTTAGTTACATTAAAACTTCTGAATTACAAATAATTCCAAAGGCTGCATCTTAGAGTCGCAGTTTAGCGTTGATTTCTAATGGATGAATGGAATTAAAAAGCTTTTGCATTTCAGTCTGCATTTTAATTTGCAATACAATGCATATAAAAAGGTGAATTGGTATCTGGAAATCTCCTTGAAGTATTAGCCAGATGCTAACTCTTACAAGCTACAGCATGCCTCTAAATAAACGTAGCATCTCTAGCGAGCTAAAAAGTCTCTTTGGGTAACCTTAGATGCTACTTGACTTCTTATGCAGTGCGAGAACATTTGGGAAATGTATCCCACCCTCCGACTCGACCCATTCACACTTGTCGCCATCGCTCTTAAAGGAAGTAGCTTGACACTGGTCAAGGCGGCTAGCTGTCAATGGCTTTGAAGCCATGTAAAACTTTCTCCACGTAATCCTTGTTAATGCACAGCACTTAGCAACTAACTATTTTCCAAGGATATGCAACAGAGGCCACCACCCTGATGTTCAGGTGGTCACCGGTGGTCTGGTTCTTAATGATGTAACGGCAGGACACAGTCAGCTCCTCGTTAGCGACTTTCCAGTCACCAGCTTAGATGGAAAAATGAAAAATTAGATGCAAGATCATCCAATATGATTTGCATCCCAATAACTATAATAAAATTGATTGTTGATTAATTGTTAAGCTTTTTGAAAGGCAAAATTTTAATAATAATACTTAATTATAGTAATACTTTTAATAGTTTGATTTAATATATAATATATATATATAATCTGCACTGCAACCTTAGGGATTTGCATCCCATTAAAAATCATAACAAATGATTTTTGATTAACTGTGAACATTGATTGTACAGCTTTTGGAATGCCAATTTTTAAATAAAATGCATTAAAAATAATTACATAAAAACTGACATGAAATATTATTAAAGTATTATTATTATAAAAATTAATAAACATACATTTTGAAATGCGTTATTTAAATAATATGCAAAAATATTAAGACATTTTCATAGTTTTATTGCATTCTATTAATAATCGTAAAAATTGATTGCTAAATAATTTCACATTAATTGTAAAGCTTTTGGAAAGGTGATATTTAAAGGGGTCATATGATGCGATTTCAAGTTTTCCTTTCTCTTTGGAGTGTTACAAGCTGTTCGTGAATAGATAAGATCCCTAAATTGCAAAGACTAAAGTCTCAAATCCAAAGAGATATTCTTTATAAAAGTTAAGACTCCTCCACGCCCCCCTAAAACGCCTCGTCTACGTCACGATGTGGGAAGATTTGCATAACGCCGCCCAAATGTTCACGCAAAGAAAGAAGGCATAACTTTATTGTTGCTGCCACCGCCATGTTGTGAAGACGCTGTGTTTCGTTGCAAAAGCGAAAATACTATGTTTGGCCTTCCAAAAATCATATGACCCCTTTAAATACAATTCGGTATATAAATATTATTACAGTATTATTATTTTTTAAAAATGAAAATGACACAATTGAAATGTGTCAGTTTATGTTTTCAGGAAACAAATCAATATGTGAGTGAATATACTTTTTTTTTTTCAGAACGTATTTGCACTTTTAACGGCTGTATCAGCACACTGTATTTATGTGTGTGCAACTGACATGAGTGCACCAGCCATGCTCTTCTGCGGTCAGACTTCTAGAAATGCCTCACTCCATATAGGGACACAACTGAGGTGGGTGTATGTTGCTGTTGACATACTGGGGACAGGTGCAACTGAGAGCTTTGACCAGCTAATAAAATGCTAATGAACTTTTCGCTGCGTTTAATTTAAGGTACGGTATTGTGAGGTGGCATTTCAAGATGCAAATGAATGCAAGTGCTCTGCAAGACTCCGTAATCAAATGAAAAGGCTTTAGATTTTCGGTTTAATCCTCATTGAGGGCTTTATTACCCCAGTGTTTGCAACCGATTTTGATTTAAAGATCTAGAACAAAAAGGCATTTTTATTGCAAGATCGCTGAATTTTTAAATTGACATCAGACTCACTTCCTTCCTTGCAGATTTCCACAGTGTATCCATCCAGACCAGAGTTTCCAATGGTGGCTGGTGGTCTCCATGAGATAGTGACAGAAGTGTCATTGACATCCTCAACGCCGAGCTCGAGAGGCTCGCTGGTGGGCTCTGGAGAGGAAAACACGCATTTAATATTTCAAACTAAAATCAGGCACTGATGTTTCAATTGGAAATGACACAATGTAGGTGATCTGAAGCGGGTTTGACTCCCCGTGGGTTTACCTGCAGGTGGAGGAGGTGTAGGTGCTTTGATTTCCTCAGCAGGTGGAGCTTCAGCATCAGCTGGTGTTAAATAGGCACATTAACAAAAGCGGCATGTAATAGAGCGTCAGGCATTAGTTTTGTCAAAAATTATGGAATAATAGCTCAGGTCAGGTTTTGGCATAATCCAAAATATGATCTCAGCACACAGAGTTTCCAAATTCAGTACCTTCAATATAAAACAAATGGTGCATTTCTAACATTAACTTTATTAGAAAAATGCATTGATTAGATTAGAGAGTCAACATGAAGGCAATACTGACACACTGAAGTTGGGTGCATTGTTAACTCACTGAACATGCTTTTAAAATGGGTTGCGAACATTTTGTCTTTCATGTTGACTGACTTTTTCAGTACTGTGCAAATGCAGTGTGTCAAATAAATTTACAGTAGCTGTTTACCATTGGCTTAGCACTGCTATTACCATTAGCGGGGCCTCAGCAGCGTTTGCAGCGGCTTCTTATGCGATGTGGCCAGCTAATCATTTCTAAATGTTAGTAAAATGTTAGAATGGACCAAATATTTGAGGCTTGATTTGCATACACAGAATATATTTTTAAAAACAGAAACAAGCACACATCGATACGTCAAACAATATTTGGTCATTTTGCGATTCCTGGCATTCACAGATAATGGAATCAGACTGGATGAATGTGCACATTATCTGTTTCAAGCTCATTTTAGTATATTTAACCTTGCCTAAACAGTAAGAAATTAAATTATTTAGTGATAGCATATAAGCTGTACACAAAATAATATCATTTATATTCATCCATTTTGTGTATGTGTATATTTTTGTGTATATTTCTAAAACCAACAATCACTAAAGAATTCCCCTTAATTACGCACTTACCTTGTGACTGCAAAAGACTGGGCTTGCTAATTAAAACATCATAGTTAAATATTTATTATTTTCTTCATGCATTGTGTTAAAGCTCTCTGTGGGACTGCGAATAGAGTTGTCTGCATTTGCCACAAGTTCTAAATACCTCTGGCTTATAAGGTCTCAGTGGATATAGCTGGTGTTAAAATAATAATTGCACAGGTGGTGAACGGCATGCTTTGCTTTTGTTAGAGAGCAGAACAGATTAGCATGAATGATCGCACATTATAGCGAAAGATTAAGAAATTGGGCTTCTGTAGAAGCTCATGTTAAGATTTATGTTCTGCAGACACCAAAACAATTTTGTATTAATTAAAAAAAAAAAAAAAACTAATTTTCTTTGACTGCATTTCACCTTGTTAACCACAGTTTCCAAGAAGATACCACCACTGTAAATCATAAATTAATAGGTTAACAATTTCAAAATCTTTCTGCTACCTGTTACATTTTTGACACATTACAACATTTTATTTTAGTAAGCACAAGGAGAAAAGTACTATAACATAACATTCAATGACAAAAAGTACCAAAAATTACTACATGGACATGGTGTTCTTTAAAGTACCTTGGAGTAACATGTTAATGAAATGGTGCATCATGAGTATCTTCATTGTACCATAGTACTGCTACAGTACTTTTCACTACAGACCGTAATATGATATTTTTGTGGAAACTATGGCTACCATGGTATTTTTGAAAAATGCATTTTAATCCAAAAAGGCAAAATAAAGAAATAAATGAATGATAGTTTAATTTTTTTCCTGGAAATCAAACACACACTTGAAGTAGAGCAAAAGTAGCAGAATAGGCGTTGAGTAGGTCAGGGCGAACAGCTGGTATGATCAGTTTAGTGTAGAAGCGAGGAGAGGTTAACAGGTGTAAATGCTCACTTGTGTTTTTTTTAAACCATCAGCTGTAGTCAGATGTTTTCCAAGTAGCTAGCCTACCAAGAGTTCTTGGCTCCAGTAGCAATGCACACGAAGTTATCATGCATTAGGTGGTAATTATTAAATGACATAAGTGTTAATAGTGTCTGTTTGTTTGTTTGCATTTACCATTACAAATGATAGAGTGGATCTTACAGAAGCAGGGTCATATTTCTCCAAATCATTGTAAGATAAAATAAACTATCCTGCATAAAGCAAATGACACTATTTTTGGTTTTTCTTTGCATGGTAACATGACAATTAAGCAAATTCTTCTTCTAATTCTTATTACACATAAATATGTAAAATATTTAAATTATAAAGTAGTAGGCTACTTGAATGTACTTCATAGCAATATTTGCTGTAATCAATTTCATTAATGCTGATTTAAATCAGGATTCATCATCATGACTGGATTATTCTCATTATTATTTATGCAAATCATAATTTCTTTTTTTCTTACAATTTTTGACTTAAATATGACTGATTTTACTCTTTTAAGAAAAGCTATGCTCTTTCTTATAGATATTAATCCAATAAAAGTATCCATTTAGAATGCACTTTTTAAGATCAATGCATTTAGTTAAGGGTCTCCGTACACACTCAGTACCTGCAGCGGGTTCGGCTGGTGGGGCTTCAGCAGGAGGAGCTTCAGCAGGAGGTGCCTCAGCAGGAGGTGCCTCCGCCGGTTTTCCTTCAGCTGGGGCTTCCTCCGCTGGAGCGGCTTCGGCGGGGGCTGGTTCAGCGGGGGCGGGAGCGGGCTCGGGCGCTGGTTCGGGTGCGGGTGCCGGTTCCTCCTTCTTGGCGGCCTTAGCCGACTTCTTTATCGGGGCTGGTTTTGCCGGCATGCTTGTCCGCTTCTGGGATCCCTCTTACCTAGTAAGTCCTTCGGCTCAGTCTGAAGATGGGTCACCCCAGATTTATAGCCTAAGGCATGTGGTGCTACTCAACTCCTCCCCTTCAGAGTTTCAAGTGACTAGTGAGGGAGCGGAGCTCTCAGCATCACGCCCACTTAAGCTGTATATATTCACTGTACTCACAGTCCAGTGCCGATAAGAAGTGTGCGAGTACTGAGGGGTGGGGGAGGGGCATTTTAAGTACATACTAAACCGATTTTTAATTCCAGAAAATAAAAAGGTAAAACTTAAACTGCATTTAAATGCTTTAGTAACGACAAGATGTAGCCTAAAATGTGCGTCCCTTATGCACTATTCTATGACATTTCATAGCATAAATAGTGTGAGTAGTGTTCACACTGAAAATTCCAAAAAGGAAAAGTGCACTTTAAAGGCACAATATGTAATTTTCGCTGCTAGAGGGCGCGTATTCAAAATAAACAAATAGACAAAGGCGTAGTTTGATGACACGGTGACTGAGTGTGGAATCATGGGAGTTGTCGCCTTCATCCACACAGCCGATGCAATCCGACGGGACTCGGGCAGAAATCCTGTTCATGGATGAGCTAATGATTTATTAACGTAGTAGAATGAAGCAGGGTGACTGTTCTAGTGGTTTTTGGATATTTTAATAAAAAAAATCTTAAAATTTTTAAATACCTGGATGATGCACTTAACCGAAAACGACACTATGCACTTATAAACTATGTACTCAACCATGTAGTGTATGGTGAGGGTGATTTGACCAAGTACAACATGTTCCTGGATCAACATCCTTGTTGATCCTGGAACATCATTCCAATCAACCAATCAGAATTGAGAGATAACTTTTCAGGAAATGTCAGTTTTAGGTTTACAATCAGGATTAGGTGCTTCTACACCCTTGTTAATCAGCTATCATTTCCCTCTGATTTTAGGAATAAATTATGGGTAAAGTTAGGTTTAGGGGTGAGGATTGGGTTAAGTCTGTATTTTTGGACAGTAGTGATGATCCAGGATCAACAAAAGATGTTGATCCAGGAACATGTCTTACTTGGCAAAATCCCGGCGACCGTAGTGTATGAATTATATAAGGTAGCCCCTCCCCCTTTGCTACCTAATTAAAGCTGCTACAGTTGAGTGCATGAAGTGTTCAACATTCCACACTTTATTACTTAAGTGCATCATCCGGGTATTTAAAGTGCAATTTTTCTTTTTGGAATTTTCAGTGTAAACACAATACTCACACTATTTATACTACAAAACGTCATAGAATAGTGCTTAAGTAGCCTACGTGATTTGGGATGCACCTGAAGTGTGGAATGTTGAACACTTCATGCACTCAACTGTAGCAGCTTTAATTAGCCTATGTAGTGAAGGGGGAGGGGCTATCAGACTCCGTTTATGAATGACAACGTAACCTTATATAATTCATACACTACATGGTTGAGTACATAGTGAATAAGTACACAATGCATAAGTGCATAGTGTATAGTGCGTCATTTGGGAAACAAATAAAATTAAGTATCCTACATAAATTGCACAAGGAAGACTTTAGTAATGCAAACGGTAGATTACAAATAATAAAAATTATATTTTGCAGAAAATTAAGTACATACTAAACTGATTTAATTCCACAAATTACATAAGCCTTCATGTTTAAGGTAAGGAACAAAGGTAGTTTAAAAGTTAACACTAAACACATTTTTACTCTGCATACTTCAAAGCATGTGAAAACATAAGACACAACAAAGAACACAGTTAACGAACGCTGTGGTTTTATTATGACAGATGGACAACGTCTTGGTGGACATATTACGAACATCCGAAGCATGCCAGTTTTTGTGTACTGGGCCACTCCATCGGTAACAAAAGCACACGTCTTCCTTACAAACCACATTTCTTAATGACATTATGTTTTTTTCTTAAATGATTGTTGTTGCAAATGCAGGGCCACGCTATGTACAATGTTTACATTTATAACGTTCTGTACAAAATGGAAATGAAGTCATACAAACAATCATTTGGGGGAACATTACAATAAAAAGAAACTAATATCATTCCTTTTATATGACCCCAAATTAGGTAGAACACATCCGTAATTCTGCTTCACACTAAGGTGACATGCGTTTACGACATTTAGAAACCCATTGCATATTGTAACTTACATCTTCTACTGTCATATTACCTTTTATGCAATAGTATTGGACTTTCGAATCAATATCAAGCATTGCATGAAGTGAAGGGACTATTCAGCAACTTCTCACCACTTTGTATCTGTACTATTATCTTTATATTTTTCATTGGTCCTCTTTGACATACTTTACATAAAACCACACCACCTGATATACTGTAGGTTCTCATTCACTTGACCCTGACCTCAAGACAGCCCCATCAAGGCATACAATCACCCGAAGTCTTTATCAATAGAGTTCCTGACTCTGTTTAACACACATGACAAATTATTGCAACAATATAGTCCACATAAAAAGGTGCATTAAAGAGTGAAAACAGCAACAGAAGCAGACACAAACCAAAGCTTATGAGCGACAGAGACAGTGAAATCAATGTAAAAATCCAGTTTTACCAGTCACCATACATGTGCTGTCACTACCATTCCAGGACAGACAAAGTAGACAGTAAAAAGTTGCTGAATTGTCGCATTAAATGGGACTTTGCACAACATAGCACAGCTATCACACAGTCACAGGCACAATAACCAGGAACATGATGCAGACAGTGTACAGCGGCTTTAGTCACACTAATAAACGTCTTTTTAAAACAAAGAATAGCTGCTGACAATGAAACCACTCGCGTAAAACCGGAATGAGATTTATTCCCTCAATGATTAGCTTTATTCGCTGATCCAGATTCAATATCAGTGGTAATTCACCGACATGCTGCGGTTATGAAATGTTATATTTTGTTGCCGTAGCATTTATTGATATAAAATGAAACTGCAAATGGCCAACTAGGATCTTCAGCAGATAAGCAACAAAAGCCATTGACACGGTCTTATGTCTGGAATGTAATCAAATATAAAAGTCACACATTAGACTTGAAGCAGCAGCAGCGCAACTGAAGGAGGCTAAAATAACTAAATCATTTTGCCATCTTGAACATTACGAGTCTCTCTCTATTTGGCCAATAAACTCCACAACCCCTCATTTCTTGGAGAAGGAACTACGAAAATCATATTTACACTGTGTAGAGTAATGATAATGCAGTATAGATGAATAGAAAGGAACGAGTTAGATTTGAACTTTAATAGCCCAGATCTTACCTACAGTACATGTATGTTTGGATACTAGTTTCAGGTACAGAGATGGGAAATTACTGGTCCACCACTGCTTTCTGTGAGCGAATCCTCTTCTGTGTGAGCGCTGAGGACGTATGGATGTAGTGTACACTACTCTCGTTAGTGCTCAACAGAACTGCTGACTTTGATATTTATCGTAAGCTTCAGAGAAATGCCGTGCGGTTTGATATGTTTTTAGACTACCATTAGGAGGTTGATTTACTTTGAGGTGGACTTTTAGTTCGATGTTTAAACTACGTCTAAAGAAACTTGATGCTTACAGCTCTAAAACTACAACTAGAAGGATTGTATAAATACTTGGTTGTACCTAAAGATGCCCTTAAATGCCACAAGACTAAGGCTATTGGATGTCAAGTGAGATTTTTGCTAAACCAAGTCATGATTTCCAATAGTTATACAGAATAGCACCAAATAATCAAAGATAATCTTCGTCTTCGCATCCGTGTGCACTTTATTGGGGTGATCATCTCTAGTACTTCAAATAAAAGGCTCATACTGAATAAAGCACTGAGTATTTGGGTTTCTACGTTTGCACCATTTGCTACAAAGAGAGCAGTAACTGAGAAAGTAGCTGTATTGAATCTAATTAGAGGCCTGAGATAACCAAACCCCTGAGCTGAGATCAGTGTCAAAGCCAAGTAAAACGTCTCTACAGTATCATTACAGTAAATCGAAGTGCACAAAAATGGTCAGTTTGTGGTCGGGACGTCTCTCCGAATGCAAATTATCTTTATAGTGTGTTACTGAGGTGCTTTTGTGTACTGTGGGAACTTTTGAGGAAACACAAGCTTCAGTTGATCAGGGTTAAGTGCCTTTTGAAACAGGATGCAGAATCATACTTTCAATTTAAGTTTAAGGAATTAGAATTAGAATGGAATGAAATTCAAAGACTGCATGTTTAATACTACATTACAGTTTTAAGGTTGAAATTATCATTCAACTGTTTTCTACAAACCACAATCCATCAAGATTTTTTTTGAATTGCAATTCAGTAAATTCCTCTCACTTTTATTTGAAATCAAAATCCAATCCGACATCCTGTTCATTCCGTGTATCATTCGATCATTTGTTTTTTGATTTAATATTGAAAGTAGAAAAATGAGAAAACGGCTCCTTTTTCGTTTTTTGATATGACAGCTGTCATAGCCTACCCTGCTCACCCAATAAGTCTGTTTGTTTAAGTAATTAATTAATTTGTTTCAAAATAAATTTTTTAAACACCAAGACAAAAAGGAAAGAATAATAAATTGGCTTTGGTTGACCTATGTTCACGCAAGAACTGTCATTCTGACTGACAACCGGAGAACAACAGATATTAAATAGCCTACTGTTAGAGTTACGTTTTCTCATTTTTCTACTTTCAATATTAAATCAAAAAACGAATGATTGAATGATACACGGATTCTGTTCGTTTCCGATTTAATTCAGATTAATTTCATGAAAGTTCATTTCTGAACTTTGCTTAACTCTGCCCCCTACAGAGTGAAAAGGGAAGATGATAGCACACTTAGAATCTGTTGTAAGGCATTCACTGTGTTAGAAAGAGGAAGAAGGTGTAATGCAGTCTGCATAAGTGTTTCTGGGGTTAAACTAGCTTATGCTGTGGCCATATTCAAAAGAAATGAAGCGTACAAAAAGCAGCAAAAGATCGAATGATACACGGATTCTCTGTTCGTTTCCGATTTAATTCAGATTAATTTCATGAAAGTTCATTTCTGAACTTTGCTTAAGTCTGCCCCCTACAGAGTGAAAAGGGAAGATGATAGCACACTTAGAATCTGTTGTAAGGCATTCACTGTGTTAGAAAGAGGAAGAAGGTGTAATGCAGTCTGCATAAGTGTTTCTGGGGTTAAACTAGCTTATGCTGTGGCCATATTCAAAAGAAATGAAGCGTACAAAAAGCAGCATAGGCTAAAGTGGCCTGTAAAGTGTTACATTATTAAGTGAGACATAATATTTCCCAGTATCTCCCATGTTGGCTCTTATTCATTACCACGAGATGAAGTAACGCGCGCACACTAGCGATTTTAGCACCTGTATCATTGAGTTGTTAATACGGGCAGCAGTGGAACAGTAAAAGTTACCGCAAAGAGAATTACATACGTACTAAAGCGTCCGTAAACAGAAATATGCAGATAGAAGTGCTATAAAATGATCAGTTTCATCATTTGTTTTAGGAGAAAGAGTTACATTTCATGACAAAATATTGTTTTTGCAAGCCCTTACATAAAAGTACCATGGTAAAAACAAAAAATTACCATGGATGAACCGGCTGTGGTGGTATTACCATGGTTTGGTCACTAACATGATAATACCATGTTATTTACTCAGCACCACGGTATATGGATAGTTTTAAGGATCACCACCAATATTTCAACTATTTTGTAAAGGTTTAAATAAATGAACGTATACAGAAAAGTGTAGTTTTATGTGCTGTAATGGGTCACCATTTCTTCCTGAAGTTTTTCTACCATTTTAACCACTATTTTTGCCGTCACTAGTTCATTTTAAAGGTCCTGAGGTGCAACAAATCCATTTTTACAAGTACAAATACCCTATGTAATCTTACGATTCATAGGAGCTCATTCATTAGTATGCATGCTGCATGCATAATAACTTTAAAAGAGCAAAATGCTGTTTAAAATGGTCGTATAGCATGTCATACTGCAGAACAAGTCAACTACCTATATGAGAGGGTACCACGGTATTACCACGTGATAGCATCACTGAACCACGGTACCACCACAGTACTTTTCTGTAAGGGACATTCCACTGAAATAAACAAGGTGGGATGAATAATATAATAAAAGAGTGGGTGAAATGCACTAACAGCATTTACAGTAACAGTACAGTGTCATCTGCAGGTGACGGAGTTTGGACCTGGACATGGGCGGCCGGAGAGATGGAGGAGATGTTCAGAGAGGAGGGAGTTTTGGATCGGTTTCTTTCTCTGGTGACTCGATGTAATTGGCAGCCTCTTGTAGTTTTAACAGCATAGCCATCTGGGAAAGGAGCAGAGATTACAGGAACGAGAAAATAATGAGATATTTCTCGTGCGCTGATATGGGGAAGCCATTAAATATATATTTAGTACTAACTCGTTTTAATGAATGTTTATCCACTAAGGAACGAACTAAGGTTTGAATTGTGCATATATTAAAGTTAATTATACTGTATAACTCATATGGTTGTATTTTTTTGCCTGTGAAAAAAAAAGCTTTATATAAAATTTAGATTTCCAATGTCACCACAAAAATACTTGTGGTTCTGATAAAAATGTATGTTATAAAAAATACATCAAATTTTAATGAGTAAAGTCTATTAAAATGGTCAAGAACGAATTGCTTCATATTAAGTACAGATACAAATATGAACATATAAATGTAAATCTGAATATTTAGTTAGACATATCTAGTTACAGTATATATATATATATATATATATATATATACAGTGCCTTGCGAGAGTATTCATACCCCTTCATTTATTTCACGTTTTGTTATGTTGCAGCCTTATGTTAAACTGCTTGTTATTAATTTTTTTTCACATCAATCTACACTCCATACACCATAATGACAATGCAAAAACAGAACTGTCACAACTTCGTAAGTTTATTAGAAATAAAAAATCTGAAATAAGTACATTGCATAAGTATTCAAACCCTTAACTCAGTACTTAGCTGAAGCACCTTTACAGCCTCAAGTCCTTTTGGGTATGATGCGTCAAGATTTGCACATCATCATTTGGCAGTTATCTGCCATTCTTCACCTCACTTCTTCACCTCTCAAGCTCTGTCAGGTTGGATGGGGCAGACTCACATTCTCAGGTTTCTCCAGAATTATTTGATTGGGTTCAAGCTCATGCTCTGGCTGGGCCACTCAAGGACATTCACAGAGTTGTCTATAATTGACTCTTGCTGTGTGCTTAGGGTCGTTGTCCTGTTGGAAGGTGAACCTTTTGTCCAGTCTGAGGTTCTGAAAGCTCTGGACTGGGTTTTCTTTAAGGCTATCTTAGTATTTTGGTGCATTGAGCTTTTCTTCTACTCTGACGAGTCCCTCAGTCCCTGCCGTTGAAAAGCAGCCCAGCTGCTACCAGCACACTTTACTTTTGGGATGCTACTCTGCAGGTGATGAGCAGTGCCTGGTTTCCTCCAAACACGATGCTTGGAACTGAGGTTCATCAGACCAGAGAATCTTGTTTCTCACAATCTGAGAGTTTTTTAGGTGCTTTGTTGCAAATTCCAAGTGAGTTTTCATGTGTCTTTACTGAGGAGAGGATTGAGTTTGGCCACACCACCATAAAGCCCAGATTGGTGGAGCGTTGCAGTGATGTTTGTCCTTCTGTAGGTTTCTCCAATCTCCACATAATCATGGAGCTCAACTAGAGTGACCATCAGGATCTTCTTCTACAGGCAGT